CAGTAAAGCATTCTGAGGAAACTGTTTTTATTTCATTTGTTTAGTTACATTTTATTAGCATACATTAATTGTACAAGGGGGTTTGTTGTGACATTTGTACACATTGTATACAATGTATCCTGAGCAATCTACTCCCTTCTCTCTGCCTAATTAATTCCCCCTTCTTAAAAGTTTCCAGAGGTTTCAGTGACTTATTTTCAAATAAAGTGTGTTGACCATATTCACCCTCATTTACCTTTTATTTCATTGTATCCCTATAATGCAGCAGGTTATTTAATCTTTGCCTATAATCTAAGAATAAAGGAATAAACCGATATTAGTATTATCTGATTTCTCAAGAAATGATTAGTACAGTCTCTTAATGAGTTTAATAACAATTAAAAATTTAAAAAATTAGTAAGATTTAAGCAAGAGTTGGCAAGCTTTCTGAAATATTAAAGGAAAAATAGTTCACCAAATAAGATTCAAATAGAACATGATTAGAATCTTAAACCATACCTATGAGATATACTCATCTAAGAAGAAACTACATATTCATTTTTTTCTACTAAACTTTTTTTTTTTGGGGGGGGGTCCGGTTGTGGGACCTGAACTCTGGGCCTGGGCGCTGTCCCTCAGCTCTTCAGCTCAAGGCAAGCGCTCTACCACTTGAGCCACAGCGCCACTTCCGGCTTTTTTCTTTTTGGTGCTGAGGAATCGAACCCAGGGCCTCAGGCATGCAAGGCAAGAGCTCTACCACTGAGCCACCTTCCCAGCCCCTCTACTAAACTTTTAGTACTTAAATATTTCAAGCATACTTTGTCATTTTACTCACAGCTTTTTTAGAGGTACTTACTATCTCTCTCTCTCTCTCTCACACACACACACACACACACACACACTCTCTCTCTCTCCTCTCTGACTAACAAGGCTTTAGGAACACTAGAACTAGTACCATATAAAGGGCCAACAATTCCATTCTGTGTGACGCTGGCCACAATTTACTCCCTCAGCTACACAGAAATAACAGAATACAAGGACATGGCATGCTAGAAGCTCAGCAAGAGCACTGGCAGTTAATTTCATCTGAAAGGAGTCCCAAAATAAAGGTTTGTGGCACCTGTGGCTGTAGTTATCGCAATCTACCTGCTACATATGTATCCTGGCCTATCCTCCAGACTCCCCAAAAGGCATACACACCTGGAAGGCCAAGCCTGGCTGTCCTGGAAGAAGTGGTCACAGAAATGAGGTCTTACCAACAGGCAATTAAGCTACCATGTTACAGCTGTGTTCTCCAACTTGGTCATCATCCTGGCCAGCCCACCAGGTTGAGTCCCAAAAAAAGAGAAGAGTGGTTCCAAGCACAGGCTTTGGACTCTCTATTAGAGAAGACAGCAAGCGGATGTAAAGAGTAGCTTCAAACATTCATCCACTGTTCCTCATGACACCAGGAGGCTGGAATCACTGTTCCCACCTGAAGTTGGATGGAAGGGATGGCTCAGTGATCCTATTAGGCCTACAGCTACTTGCTGTACAGCTTACAGCACCAAGAATGGGTATGTGTCCAATAATTAGTGAGTCTTGAGAGGCAGAAGTGGGGCAGGACCACTGACATTCTTCCCACTGCAGAGCCCAGCTCAGGACAGCCTCACAGTCTGGCTCTGTGCTCTACACAGTAACACTACATCCAAGAGAAGTAAAAAGGTACATTTTCTACATTTCTTCATGACATACTCTGCTCCTTCTGGGAGTGCCTAAGCAGTGGGCTTGGAAACCATTTGGAAAGGAAGTGACAGGAGTGCTCAATGGAGCAGGCACTAGATATAAACAAGTCACTCATTTCCACAGTTAACTGAACAGCTACCCAGGCCAGCACCACAGAGTCATGGTTAAGAATACCACGGAAACAGGGCTCCTTTCTAAAAGAACATATAGCCTCCAGGTGAGCTAAAGTCCCTAAAGTGTTTCCATCCCACTGTGGCAAATTGCTGCCATTCACAGCCCTGAGTTAGTATTTAGTTATATGTCAGACATGCACCAATCTCCCCAACTAGAACGGAAGCCACTTGAACTGCATTTGAGACCTGGCACCCTTCAATTCGCTTCAATCTGGAGGCAATTCATTGTCAGACTTTCATTGTGGCTCTTAGAGACCTAAAAGATTCTCAAACACGGTTCAGACATTTTTTCCTAGCATAAAATGGAACCCAAGTTAAAAAAAATGCTTTTTAAGTAGTATTACTGCTCAGAAGTAAAACATTCTTCTCCCTAACACTGGAGAGTTTTGCTACAAATTGTCACATAAATTAGTATGTTAGTAGGCAACTTTCAGAAGCAATCTACTTTCAGGGAAAAAAAAAGTAAACAAAATTACCAAATCTTAGACTAACTGCTTTATACTGTTCCCCTATTTCAAGCTTTCTGTGCAGATAGAGAGGATGGCTTGCTGTGATTCTCACTGGTCTCTTCTCTTACTGTGAGCTGCTCAAGGACACTGAGTCCCAGAGGTGGGAAGAGATGATGTGGCCGATGTCTTATTTATAGAGAAGATGAACAAGGACACTTCTCAGCTCCCAAGTGCTTCACATAAGAACTCTGAGTAAGGGCTGGGAAGGTGGCTCAGTGGTAGAGTGCTTGCCTTGCATGCCTGAGGCCCTAGGTTCGATTCCTCAGCACCACATAAGCAAAAAGAAAAAAGCCAGAAGTGGTGCTGTGGCTCAAGTGGTAGTGTGCTAGCCTTGAGCTGAGGGACAGAGCCCAGGCCCAGAGTTCAGGCCCCACAACCGGACCCAAAAAAAAAAAAAGCAAAAAAAACCCTCTAAGTTCACTCAGTTAGCCAGTAAGGTTTTAGGGTGGTGGATATTATGTTTGGGGTTTTGTTGGTTATGGAGATTGGACCCAGGGCCTCAAACATGGAAGGAACATGAACATAGGAGGGAAAGCTGGAAGAGGAAGAGCAGATCGTAAATCAACCTTGAACAAAGGAGATGGGTTTCAGGTCAATTCTACAAACCATAACCAACAAAGAACCCACTCTTGTCTAGTAAGAAGTTATAAAGTTTGGGTATTAATTAAAAGATGCTAATATCCATTTTGAAGCCTAACATAGGTCTGTTCAGTTAATGTTAAGTCATTTCTAAGGTGAGATGATCTGGTGTGTGTCTTTTTGTTTTCCAGCCAAGAAGGTGCAAGTAGAACTCCCTGGAACTTAAGAGGCCAGTTCTTAGGGCAGACTTAGAGAAGAGGCCAGTTCTTAGGACAGACTTACAGAGGGCAGTTCTTAGGGCAGACTCACAGAGGGCAGTTCTTAGGACAGACTCACAGAGGGCAGTTCTTAGGGCAGACTCACAGAGGGCAGTTCTTAGGGCAGACTTAGAGAAGAGGCCAGTTCTTAGGGCAGACTTACAGAGGGCAGTTCTTAGGGCAGACTTACAGAGGGCAGTTCTTAGGGCAGACTTACAGAGGGCAGTTCTTAGGGCAGACTCACAGAGGGAAGTTCTTAGGACAGACTTACAGAGGGCAGTTCTTAGGACAGACTTACAGAGGGCAGTTCTTAGGACAGACTTAGAGAAGAGGCCAGTTCTTAGGACAGACTTAGAGAAGAGGCCAGTTCTTAGGACAGACTTAGAGAAGAGGCCAGTTCTTAGGACAGACTTA